TATAAATTCTCCCAGCTACGTCTGGTCCGCATTGTTAAAGACCTTCAAAGGCGGACGTGATGATTTTGCAGGAGAACATTTTGCAAGATAAAAGATGTGGATGAAGTGATAAGGTTAAGGGAAAAAGAAAGATATATACCTGTATCCGGGTTGAGTGGGCCCAGTGCATCGTACTATTCTGTTATTTTGTAGAAGGTCATATTTAATCTATGTAATTATTGTCATGCAGTTTTATGCAGCTCTCCGCCTGAATCAAAGTGCTCCAGGGTGCACCTACGCAGTGTTTTAAACATTTCTGCTGAAAAAAAATAAAACTCATTCCGCACAAAAAAAGCTCCTGGAACATGTTTTTCTTCTTCTTCTGAATCTGACATGAGGGAGATTACCTTTTCCCTCCCCTGCAGCTGAAAATATCTCTCAAACAGAGATAGTGCTCTAAGGGGTGAGCTGCCATATGCATACACATTCGTATTCAAATGAATGTGTTTGACCATTTTCTCCAGGATATGAATCCATTAAAATATCCCATTTGTACCCTTTGAGGGTAGATCTGCTTTTACTGTGGTCTTGAGAGCAATATTTATCCATCATGTATTTTGAATGGCTCATGTTTTTTGTTTTTTTTGTTCCTTCATTGGGATTTCTTTCTTTCTCTTTCCTTTGGACTTTCCACCATATCTGATATGCCAGTCTACAACTTTGCCAACTAGTAATACCAAATTCTGAAACAGTGGAAAGTTAAGTGGACAACTTTTTTTTTTTTTTTTTTTTTTTTTTTTAACAGCTGTGCACACAAAATACATGTACTTCAAAATAATCTTTTGTTTGTCTTGAACTTCTTATTTGTCTCTGCCATTTGTATACAGGATACCCACAGGGATTCCCTTATTTTTAGACAGGAGACGTGAGTAAAAGAAGATCCCTGTCCTAAAGGTCGAGGGAGACAGGAAATGGGAGAAGCGAGTCTCTGTGTGTCCGTGCTGTCCACGAAATGGTTGGATGTAACTCAATACCAATGTGCCAGTACGTCACCAGAAAAAAATCATAGCTGAGAGTCAGCTGGATGGGATACATGAGTTTCAGGAATTGCTTTGATTATTTGAAACACACGCAAACTCTACTTGTGACACTCATCTCTAAATATCTAGCTATATATCTATATATCTATATCTCTAGCATGATTCTCGATTCAACACCAGATTTAATTAAATATTGAAGTGGTCACACAGCAGTATGATACTGAAACAAACATGGCGTGCTGAAGACTTTTTATGGTTTATTATTCTTCTCCACCCTCGCTGCGCCTTAACTGTGGAACAAAATGTCAGTGAAACAATGTAAACACCATTGGAAGTAAAACAGAAAAGTAATTTAATGGTCAGCTGTGCGTTTTAAAGAACTTCCCATGAGCATACACCTACAACATTTGTAATCCTTATAGTCTGTTTAGAAGATTTAGAGGAACAGAGGAATCAATTTGCCACGTGCACGAGCATCAGACGACTTTTTATCCAAAGTCGTTACTGTGTGTGTCAAGTAAAGCAGGCTTGCCCACCTTATCTTCAGAGTGGTGAAAAAATAGACCCTTCGTCACTCAAAACACTGTCTCAGGAGATAACAACTGTGACCATCTAGAAAAATGTATTGAGTGAGTAGCAACAACCATTAGCTAGTTGGAAATTCTCACAATAATTGTGACTGTTTTGGTGGAAGGATAATGACGAGCACAATATTGTGTAAATGCTCAGGAATACCTCTTATCTTGAACACCCACTGAATGCCACAGATGACCAACATGTGGGTGAAAAAATTGGTGATTAGCCAGCAGATCACAGCGGGTCACTGCATGCGTGCGTGCGTGTGTGCGTGCGTGCAATTATTTGTGTGTACTTCTAGGTAGGCGTTGGCGGAGGGGGGGGGGGGTGTTTGTATATGCCAATGTGTGTGTATGCTTGTAAATCTAAATTTGAACATGCATGTGTATTTGCATGTGCGTCTGCTGGAGGAACATTGTTCTGTTACACAATGCATGCCTTTGACATTCCAGCTCCACCTGTCAGTGTGTACAAAGGCCTTTCTCCCAGGCTTTGACATGTTTGAATCTGCTGCTGGCCAGGAGAGATAGCAGAGTCCTGTATAGGACGTGTGTGGGTGGACAGCCTGTAGAGTCCTGCCTGACCTCCTTCATGATCTTTCTTTCAGGCAGCATAACTTCAACCGGAGCTCAGAGGAAAAACATTTCTGAGGAGGTATAGCTAATACTGATTCAGTGCCCTCTTGCTCAAAACAAACTGACATCTTGTCGCAGTGATTGATGCAGACACTCAGCAGTAAGATGTATCACCCCTCTTCATTCCATCTAAAGGTGACAGATGATGTAGTAACTACAATAGTTCAAATTTTACATTTTTGACTTTAACTTTTAGCTCCCTCATCAGGCCAAACACATTTTTACTATCCCATAACCAACAAAACATCTGTGTTTTCAAATTCAGTATAAAAAAATTAAATGTGAAGATGACATTCCTTTGTTGTAATTGTATTTTGACAAAACGTACCATTTCAACCTTTTCAGTAACTGAAAACTTATTTTACACAGGTTGAAGTGAAGGTAACAGTTACAGTAAGTTTAGGCAGCTTTTACTGTACACCATACCCAACTAGGCAAACTTGTACCTCAGGGGCTATGTAGCAGTTTGCTAGGGGGTATGAAAAGATTGTGGAGTTGCTAAACTAATTTGAAAAAAAAATGTAAAAATTACAATTTGATTTAGACCTAATTAGACCTGTTGCAAGTGAGACTGCATGAAAACAAGGCTAAAATTTCTAGCTCGAAGTATTACTTTTGAATATTCCAGCCATTTATCCATTAATACTCATATGTACAGCTTAACATGTTACTTTACTATGTCAGTCATTTATTCATTGTTGCTTTTGGCAAATGTCTAGCCAACTGCTTCAGAGATTAACTATTCAACTATTAATCTGTAAACAGATTACATTGTTGGTTAAAGCTAATAGATAAACTGTTTAAAGTATTTAAAAATAATATAAATAGATACAATTGTTTGCTAAAAGTAATTGACAAAGGGTTAGCTAAATGTAGATGGTCATCTTACGGCAATGCATTAACGGTTAGCTAAAACTAATGGATAAAATAGTTAGCCTAGCTAAAAGTAATAAATAAATGGTTGAAACAGTTTAAAAATAATGGATAGTAGGCTAATGGATAGCTGTGAAAATTTGCTGAGTAATGAATTCCCTGGTTGAGATGTCCAGCTTCTGGTATTAGGCTACAAAAACCAACTTCAACACTGATTGTCTGCTCGATTTAAAAAAAACAAAACAAAAAAAAACGCTGTAACAATATTCACTTTTATATAATTGATAGTGTAAAATAAAAACTAGTTTAAAATCAGTTCAAATCTGGAACATGACAAGTTGAGTTCATTTTTGCTGTGGAGGAATATGAGTTGAAAACTGCTGTCCAGTTTGGCTAAGGCGGGGAAAGGATTCAATCTTTGGGAGGATTTTGATTAAATATGAAAATGTTACACACAGTTTAGTGAGAAATTTAACCCATGAGTTGAAAGCATATATATATCCACCCATCAGCCACTGAAACCTTCTTCCATGGCACCATTTCACTGTGAGGCTCTGACGCTACGAACGCCCACCCCATCCTCTTTGTGTATACCTCATTTACAGAGGGAAACATCACTTTTTTGTGCACAAGGCATGTATTTACTTCCAAGACATTACGCTCATTTCAGAACTTTTCACAAAATAACACTTGGCACAGAAACACAGTCTTGACATAGATCGTCCCTCCAGGTTACAGTCAAATCAAACCATTGACATCTGAGGCAGGACATTTGAATTAAAACATGTCAAATATTAATTATAGCTCCTGTACTGTGCCAACTGATGTAGTTTCTAAGGATTTTTCAGTGTGTGCAGCAAGTTTCGTGTCACTCAGACTGATGGTGTTGGAGTTGAGAGCTTTCAAATTGTGAAAATTTAACCTTTAAATGTAGCACCCATTAGGCCAATTTAGTTCAGTTTTAAATCATGGGCGTGAAACAGTGTGAAAAACATCTTCCTTTTAAGTTCCATCAAAATAAAAGTAGTAATGCATTAAGATAAATGTTTGACAGGCAGATACAGCCCTCTTAATATTCTTACATTTCCGGTGTTATGTTGATAACCTGCTGCCTTGACACGCTGCCATTTTGATGAATCAATGATGTTTTCTTTAATATTTTTATTTATATTTTCATCAGGGTTCCTTGTCTGGTACTTTCCAGATTTTCAGGTTAACTAGCCTGTCCTCTGAAAACCTCATTTTGAAGTTTGATAACAAAACTGCTAGGATTATTTGTCTTTAATCTCCAGCCTGTTGCTCAGTCACCTCACCCGTTGATGGTCAAGTTTATTCCACTGAACCTCCGGGGAGGAGCAGAGCGGTGATGGCTGCTGCAAAATTTAAAACTGTTATAGGAACACGTCCTGCAGCCAACGAAGCTTTTGAGCTCCCAGAGCTAGCAATATGATCCTAAGTAGAATTGCAGGACACTGACACAATCACCGCTTATAACAATCCTGCGCAGAGCGGTTTCATATCTGATATATTACCTCACAATCATAATGTGTCAGTTACAAAAAATACACTGATACCAAGAAGATCACAAGCATAAACAGAAACAGTCCTGATGATATGTTGCTTAATATTTCCTTTCCACCACCCTAGTGTATCTTTAAAGTATTTGTAGTGTTCACTAGAGACTTTGGTGAAATTTATACCATTATAATTCTCGATCACTTTAAAACATCTTCAGTTTTTCTTTCAGTTTTGTTGTGATCCCTCATGAACCTATCATGGGATATCTACATTTCTGCTGCATATCTTTATCATCTAAAAAAAAATTGTGATATATCCATTGTGATATATATATATATATATATATATATATATATCTGTACACAGAAATAAGCTACAATGCAGTCTACAGTATGAGTGTGAGGGTTGGGGATGGGGGTTGTTATATAAGAAGTCTACATGGGGGAATCGGTGTACTGACTGTTCAAACAGTACCCCTCAGCCTACAGGGACTCACTGCGCCAAGGCACAGCTCATCAAGTCAATATCTCACACATATGTGGCTTTAACAGGAGCAATATCTTCTTTGAGGCCATAGGCTATTTACAATGTCAAGTCATTATGTATCATTAACCCATAGTTGGCGGATTGAGTTTAAATAAGTTAAAAATGAATAATTAGTTTGATGTTTTGTTGTTGTGTATCTGTTGCAGAGTCTTCTCAAATTCTGCAGGGTCATTAGTGTTCATGAGACAAAATATTCGGTGGCCTCGGCTGTGCTTTCAAAGCTCGTGTCCTTGCTGGGGGTCGGCATGCCCGCCCCTCCCCTGGGATCCTTCAGTAAGGGGATGTATGTGTCACTGTGACAGGAGCGCATGGCGTTTTCCCAGACCCCTGCACCACAAACATGTTTATGGGCGCCGGGTGCAGCCTTCAGCTCGCCAGCGCCGGAGCGCAGCGCCATCAGTTCAATCTCGTGCTTGGCCGCAGTCTCTAGCACCTGTTGCTTGTTGTAGAACAGGACAAAATTGTTGATGATGGGGTGTATGGGCAGCGCTATGGCGATCACCCCGCACAAGAAGCTAATGGCCGCGTTACACCGGCCTAAAGTGGTCTTCGGGTAGACGTCTCCATAGCCCACAGTGGTCATCGTGATCACAGCCCACCAGAATGACTGTGGGATGCTGGTGAACAAGGTGTCCGGGTGGTTCTGCTCCATAGTGTAGCCCAGTGCGGAGAAAAGGAAGACTCCCACGCCCATATACATGAGGAGCAGCCCGAGCTCTTTGAAGCTGCTCTTCAGGGCAGATGTGAGGGTCTGGAGTCCAGAGGAATGGCGTGCCAGCTTGAAAATGCGCGCGATGCGCATTATGCGTAAAGCCTGCACCGCCTGCTGCACATTAGCCAGTTCCAACACTCCAGCGCCGAAGGAGGTCAGAATCAGCACCACGAAGAAAGGCATGATCGCCATGAAGTCGATGATGTTCATGAAAGCCATGACGAATTTCATTTTGTTAGGCGAGGAGATCAGACGTAGCAGGTATTCGATGGTGAACCAGCCGATGCACACCGTCTCGATGACCTCCAGAGTCGGGTGTTCTGCGAGGTTACCCTCCGAGTCCTCCACCTGTAGGTCGGGGATGGTCCCGACGCACATGACCACGGAGGAGATGAGGATGAAGATGAAAGAAACTATAGCGATTATGTGCGCAGGCAGCGAGGAGTCCGGTTTCTCCATCAGCCTCCAGAGGCACATCTGGAAGCGCTGCCAGCCCCCTGCAGACGGATCTCCCTCTCGGTCCACCAGGATAGTTCTCACTTTCTCTGCAATCTCTGCAAGTTCATCCTCCACCTCCTTTAGGTGGCTTTTACAACATTCATCCAGGAAATCAGAGCCAATTTTCCAGAACTCCATCTCCTTCATAAAACAAATTGGACAGATGCCTCTTTTCACGTGAATCTCCCCATAATAATACAGCTCAATTATGCATTTAAATGCTTCAGGGTCTCTGTCGAAATAAAATTCTCCACTGTCAGGGTCGTAGTCGTCACATAGTAAAGATATTTCTTCCGAAGACTTAAGTGAACAGTCCACCAGTTCTGCCAGCCGGGTGTCCGGGAAGCGATTCAACACGTCCCCATACAGTACCTGTTTCACCCCGCCGATGTTAACAACAATCTCTGTCTCTTCACTGGCTTCAGAGCCGTTGCAGTCCGCATATCGCGTCCTCTGGATCCCCCACATTATGGTGACAACAAGTCCGCTGTTAAACAGCCCAACTGATCGAGATTTTCGCACAACTGTTTGCTGATAAAGTCAACACAAGTCACCAGACGCACTGGCGCTGTGCGTAAAACCTGATCAATCTTGTGATCTCTCTGTGTTTTGGTGGTGAAAAAAATGACTGTGTTTGCTCAGCGGTGACTGCAGCGTGAAGTCTCCTCAGTTCACTACAGCCGTGTTTGGCAGTGAACAATGCGCCTGTGCGCTTCGGAGAAAGTTGGCATTGAAGTGCGCGCAATATCAAGCGAGTCACAAAAAAGACGCGGGACTTCCGGCGATAACTTTCAAAACAAAACCACTACTGGGCAACGATGTAGAAATGAAAATCCCTCCCTAAATGCAACTCACTGCTGATTTTTTAAAGAGTCTCTTTAGTTTCAGATTATCAAGCAGTGAAGCTATCATAAGCAGTCTACTTCCAAAGAAGCAGGCTATGCAGAACATTTACTTCAGCAAAATTTGCAAGACCACAGTGAAATAAGTTACAAGTAAAAGTCATGCTTTCAAAATACTACTCAAAGCAAAGCAGTTGCAGAAATATAAGTAAAATGTACTTACTTAAAATACCAAATGCACATAAATGCATGTAAAATCTCAATCTGCAAAGCAACCACTAACTATAGCTTTCAGTTAAATGAAGCAAAAAAGGTGTCTTATTATAGCCTAACAGATCTATGTTGTGGAGTAGAAGTGTAAAGTAGCACAACATTGAAATACTCAAGTAAGGTATAAGTCGACTCTACCTTACTTTGCCACAATCTACCATAACTTAATACTTGGCAGAAAATATTCTATATACCCTATATTTACAATCAACAACTGCCCACAGTCAGCTTTCCTTCTGTCACCTTTAATCCAGTTGTTGTTACAAACTTTCTCTATTCATACACCATATATGTGTCATTAACCTTGTGATCAATTAACTCACAAAAAGTATTTAACCAGCCTTAACTACATTGAGTTATTGGAGTTAAAATGTTTTCAAGGGGCTTTTATTGCCATTGTCAGCTCCTGTGGTGAACTCCTAAGTGGATAATGGTATGGCATGGGATGGTTTATAATTATTGTATTAAGTCTATTGCTACTGATTAACTTAATATTTAGTCTCTTAAACAATGACCTCAAGTGGCAATATAACCTACAGACTATGCTTTTACTTTTAAGGCGATCTCCGTGTCTTCCGGTTGTGCTGTGTGTGTCTGTAGTTGAATTGGTGCAGCGCAGTGCAGCCAGGCACAGCACATCCGAAATATCAGCGGCATGTAATGAATTGTGAAATAGCAAAGGGGGAAATCAGGGACACGCGCTCCGCAGGGGTTTGGAGGCAGCTCCAAGAGCAACAATTGGTTAAAGGTAATCGATTAACAGGCAGCACTGCACAAGTAACCCAACAATAGTCTCTAAAATCTTTTTATAGCCCAGACTTAGGAGCATTACCCATCATCCATTTTGAATGTATTAATGGCTGCTATCAAATAACTCGGACGAAGTAGATTCAGGCTGGGTAATGATCTCTTTGTCCGAGAAAGAATTATAATCCCATTGTAACCTACAACCCTAACCCACTGTCTAAGTGATGGTCTATCAGGCTAAAAAAAAATCATCATCAATCTACTCTCAATACCCCATAATGACAAAGTGAAAATGGAATTTAAAAGATTTTTTGTAAATTTATTAAAAAGGAAAAAGTGAAGTGTCACAAGTGTTCAGACCTTTCACTATGGCACTTGAAATTTAGCTCAGGTGCCTCCCATTTCTCTGGATCATCTTTGAGATGTTTCTACACTTGATTGGAGCACACCTGTGGTCAACTCAGTTGGTTGGACATGATTTGGAAAGGAACACACCTGTTAATATAAGCTCTCGCAGCTGAAAATGCATATCGGAGCAAAAACCAAACCATGGGGTGGAAGGAACTGGCTGCAGAGCTCAGAGACAGGATTGAGGCACAGGTCTGGGGAAGGCTACAAACAATTACTGCTGCATTGAAGGTTCCCAAGAGCACAGTGGCTTCCGTAATTCTTAAATGGAAGAACTGGAAACCAGGACTCTTCCTAGAGCTGGTTTCCCAGCAAAACTGAGTAATCAGGGAGAAGGGTCTTGGTAAGAGAGGTGACCAAGAACCTGATGGTCACGCTTGCTGAGCTTCAGAGAACCTGTGTATAACTGAACAATTCTGCAGTACACTACACAGAATTATTGATCGGCAGCCTAGCCTTGTTGTTTGTCTCCACCTAGTGACAACGCCTCCACAATACAGTAGCCCAAAGGCTTTTATTTTCTGCTCGTAAACAATGGTACAAACCACTGAGGATAGGTGTCTATTGATAAGTGATTTAAAAGCAGTGTAGGTTTACAGTAGAGTAAAGTCCAGTGTTTGTGTTATAGACTGTTGTCAATTCCTAAGGCTAAAATAATGTAAAATCTGCAGTGGAGTTAAGTCAAACTTTGGTTTCCTACAAGATTGTAGTGGGAAACCATCTAGTTTAGTTGGGCTATCATTGGTGCATTTAAATAAATACATAAATAATTTATAGGATTAATAATAATAATACAACAAATACAACAAAGAAATGACATGCACCAAATGCTTCAAATGAAAAGAAAATACATAAAATGAACATAAAACATTGTTAAATGCATTGATCTATAATGAAAAACATTAAAAACATTTATGTAAAATGAGATAAAATAAGGAATAAAAATTATAAATCATTAAATAGGCAGACATTTGAAAGAAGTGCTGAGCAGTGCATAAATGTAGCGCAAAGTGCAAATGTCAGAGCTAGTTAAAGGCTAAAGTGAAGAAATAAGTTTTGAGTCTTCTTTTAGAAATACTTAGTGAGCTGGCCTCCCTGATATCTATAGGTAGTGTGTTTCATAGCTTTGGGCTGTAATTTTTCTGTGGCTGTTGTTGGGAACCTTCAATAAAACAGCAGTAGATGACCTCAGTGTTCTCTGAGGTACATTGTTAATCAGGGAGTTAGCAATGTAGCTTGGTCCTTGCCCCATTAAGGCCTTTGTATATAAGGAGGAGGACATTGAAATCAATTCTAAATGTAACAGGAAGCCAGTGCAGAGCAGCTAAAACTGAACTAATGTGCTTTCTCCCCTTGGTTCTGGTTCACAGCCGAGCTGCAGAGTTTTGAATAGAGTTGAAGTCTCTCAGTGGTTTTTTTCGAGGGCCCAGTAAAAAGGTTGTTGGAGTAATCAAGTCGGCTTGAAATGAAGGCATGAATCAATCTTTCAGCATCTTTTAGCTTTGTAAATGGCCATACTTTAGCTATGTTTCTAAGGTGGAAAAATTATGTTTTTGTCACCTTGTTGATATGGGACTTGAAGCTTAGATCTGAATCCAAGGTAACGCCAAGACTTGTAACCTCAGATTTAATCCAAGGAGTCAGTTTCCCCAGGTTATTGAACAGCATTTCTCTTTTTGTTTTGGGGCTGACTAGTAGGATTTCTTTTTTTTTTTTTTTACAAGGACTTTGTTGACTTGAGGTAAAAGTGACCTTATCAATTTCACTGAAATTTTGTTCAGTCACCAGTCCTCTAGGACACATACATTCTGCTGTACTGTATATCTGTATATCTGTATATCTACGTACCTAACTACCTACATACCTAACTACCTATCTATCTACCTCCCTCCAATGTACTTGTACTTCTTATTAAATTAAGTAGTACTCTAGAGATACATACTGAATCTGCCCCAGACTTGACCCAGACCCTGAGGCCGGATCACCATAAAAGAATGGCCCAGATAAAAAGAAAACAACTATCTGGGCTAGTTTTGGTCCGTTGTGCCAAAGGACACTGGCCCAAGTCTATTATGTGGATAGGGTTAGGGTAAGGGGCTCTAGGCAAGATCTGGGGCAAATGATATCTATGCTATCTTTGTGATTTATTGTTTAAAACATTTATTGTTTAAGACAAACAAAAATTCCAAAAATTCATTGGTGCCAGCTTTTTCAACTTAACATTTTCATGTCTTTGAGTGCTGGTCAGAAAAAGCAATGTGGATATGTTCACTTGGGCTTCAGAGTATAATAATTGGTATTTTTCACTATTTCCTGACATTTTACACACTGGCCAATCAATCAACTATTAATAATTGCTGGTTGTGAATGACTGTGGCCCCTGGGAAGTTTTATCCACAACCTGACAACCCATAAGTTGTTTTTATTAATGGATTATAACTGATAAAGCATTAGTAAATGATAAGTAAACCACTTTATATTTTATTCCATTCAGAACACATAACTCTCTATGTATTGCTTTGTGTAACACCCTGTAACTTTACTGTCTACAGTTGTATATAAATATCGACATGTATTACTTTCGCATTAAAAGAGATATGACTAGATGTTAGACTGACTCAGCCTTGTCACTTGTCTTACACCTCCTCTTTGTGCAGCTACATGTTGCCTCCTTCCTCCTCCAGCCCCTCTCTTACCCACAGTGTACCGGCTTTATTAAACTACACGGCGCGCGCTGATTGGCCGAGTTGCAGCGTCGACACCAGCTGACCAATCAGCGTGGGCCACGGTGAGATTTTTCGATCTACTTTTGTGGGAGACGCAGCGGCTGTGGTCTGTGTGTTGTTGCTAACTGAGGGGACGAGTGGAGAACAGCTGAAACCATGAGACCGCTTTTACTAGGTGAGTGAAAACACCGACAGCTTTTCTACTTCTATAAAATGTAACGTTTGTGAATTTGTAGGCGGCAGGTGTGTAGGACTGCGTTTTCGCAACTGTGGTTAGCTTGAATAGCTAAGTTTAACGTGCACAGAACAGTGCCAGGCCTCCGTTATCGTTGAATCTGTGAATTAATAAAAAACCATTTCACTTGCTGATACATACAATTGCAATAAATCTGCATATAGGCTGCATTAAGTAGGCATGCGGTGTCCTGTCAGCGCTTACTTCAGCTGGTGTGGGTGTTCATGAAACACACTCAACAGTGTTGAGAAACCGTTTGTATCTTCATCTTCTCTTCCAGGAGTGTTGGGCTGTTCCCTGGTCCTGTCTGTCCATGCGATGTACTCGGCTAGTGATGATGTTGTTGAGCTCACCCCCTCGAACTTCAACAGGGAGGTGATCCAGAGCGACAGTCTGTGGCTGATTGAGTTTTACGCTCCCTGGTGAGTCCCTACAACTTTGATGGCCATTCTTCAGTGGTAACAAGTGTGTATAGATCTACCAAGCAGTGACACAGTGTCCATAGTTTCAGTACAAGCATCTTACATCGACTCAGTGAAGTTTGAACCCCCTGTTTGTTGGTGCCTCTCTTCATCGAAACATGAACTTTAGTTTTGATAGGAAGAGAATGTAGAGACTTGTATGCAAAGTTGGTAGCTCCTCCTTGATATAATAATATGTATGATAATATGTTTTCGCATGCATACACAGACACAAAGAACTCAATTAAAGCTAAACTAAACAGAAAACAGCCGTCCTGTGACCTGGGGAATCTGCCAAGTCAATAATTTGAAGCATGTTACATATAGTGGATATTCATGGGCCAGACCATTAAGTGCTTTATAGACCAGGAGCAATGAACAAGTAGCCAGTGGAGATGTGTACACCTAAAGCCGATGTAAATGAAGGGTGTGAAATATTCCCTGGATGTGTTAATATTGGATCGTTTGGTTCTGTGACTAACGCTTGTGACGTACTGAAGAACTACAGGGATGTTTCTTGATAAAATGAAATGTTTCTGGAAATGAATACTGATTGTCCACCATCTCTCTCATTTTCACTAATTTCTCACTCATTAAGTATGTCAATTATTAAGCTAGCTTACTAGCAATGAAAGAATTCTGTCATTTTTCACTAAACATTGAAATGAATTTAATTTATTATTCACGTCTGCATCTCTTTTGTTTTATCATCACAGGTGTGGCCACTGTCAAAATCTAGCTCCAGACTGGAAGAAGGCAGCCACTGCCCTCAAGGTAAACAAGACATCTCTCCTCATCTTGGCGTTTATTACCAGCTAGGTTGTAGACTGAGTGAATGACAGACTGTTGGTATTTTCAGTGAAAAAGCCTCAACTATTGCAGAGAAACATTTAGTAGTCCCAGCAGTGCTGAGCATTGTTGACAAAATCAAATATCACAATATTTTTAATGGATACTTATATTGACAGTATGAGCTGTCAGGCAGTTATAATGACAAAGCAGGTAGAGGCATTCATTTAACTCAGCTACAACAAACAAATAAGTTCAGAGAAGTATTTAATGTAACTGCAGGACCTAAAAACAACACTGAAGTTAGAACATGATTGCCAAACTCTAGCTCACCGTTTTGCTAAACCTACAAATTTTTTGAAGTTTTTAACACAGCAGTGAGAATAAGAGCAAACAAAGGCGTTAGATGTGGGAAGATAATGGGCCTATAGCCAAATGTTAATGAATAATATTAACTGTGTTGCAGATAAAACAAGACGGTTTACTTGATGGAATGTGCTTTTCAGCTCATCCTATCACTTCTAATATTATTTATCTGAAGTACACTGTTTGTGCAGACACATCCAGCGTACATAAGTAAGCGTTGCACTTCTTGTGAAATAGATAGATACATACATTCATACATATGTTATTTATCCCCGAGGGGAAATTCATGTGTCCATTAGCTGATTGTTGATAATAATAAAAACAGTTAATAATAAACAAACAATAATAATTAGATTAGTCCACTTCCTTTGGCTGAGTTGTTGTATACCCTGATGGCAGTGGGCACAAGGGATCTCCTGACCCTGAACTGCACACAGTTGTTTTGAGAAGACGATGATTAACAGGCAGCAATATATTTTACTGTGATTAAAAGTTGAGAGTGAAAACCTTAAAACCTGCTTCTTTTGCAATTCTACAGGGAATTGTCAAGATTGGTGCCGTAGACGCAGACCAGCACAAGTCACTGGGTGGACAGTATGGCGTCAGAGGGTTCCCCACCATCAAGATCTTTGGAGCCAATAAGCAAAAGCCAGAGGAGTACCAAGGTACAGGCGAGAGCTTCTGCTGATCACACAGCTTTGGAATTTGTAAATATAATGAAATGCTGTATTTGACTGCAGTGACTGAAATCTGCATGTCCTTGACCCCAAAGGTGGACGCAGCAGCCAGGCCATTGTGGATGGAGCCATGAACGCTTTGCGCAGTCTGGTGAAAGATCGGCTCAGCGGCAAATCTGGCAGCTCTAGCTACAGCAAACAGGTAGATCCAGTGATGAACCTGTGCAGTAGCTCTTTGTTGCAGCTGTTTGTAAATGGAGAGATGAAACACTTGAGTGAACATGGTTAAGTCATGCTCAACTGCCTTCTAGGGTGGAGGTGGCGGCAGCAGCGGTGGCAGCAAGAAAGATGTGGTGGAGCTAACAGATGACAACTTCGACAAGATGGTGCTGCAGGGTGATGATGTGTGGCTGGTAGAGTTCTTTGCCCCCTGGTGTGGACACTGCAAGAAGTAAGTAAACCCACCCCCACACTCCCTCACTAGGACAAGAGAAATTAGATTTCTATTATCCCTGTACGATGGAGGTTAATGGAATTTTGTTTGCTGCTCAAAGCACTGAAACAACACCGTTTCTTTTCGGAAACAATGTCCCAGTAAATCTGGATAATCCACCATGAAAACACTTCATTGGGTCTATTCCTTCAGTAGAACGTAATCCCTATTAAAACAGCTCAGCGAGGTCTGAGCTATTGTATTCCAAATAACCATGTGAATTTGACAGGCTTTCCCAACATGAATCATAAGAAATTATGCCAACCTCATATTGAAGTACTGTGGAATTAGACTCTGAGTTTACACTATCATGGTCGGGTTTTCTCAACCATCACTCTCTTCTGTTGTAAATAGCCTGGAGCCTGAGTGGGCAGCTGCAGCCACAGTTGTCAAGGAGCAGACCAAGGGCAAAGTTCGCCTCGGAGCTGTGGATGCAACTGTACATCAGGTTCTGTCCAGCCGCTATGGGGTAAGTAAGAATCAATAAATAATAATTCAGATACAAACTACTGTACTTGTAGATGCAATATAGGCATACAAAGTGAGAAATTTGTAATTAAATTTATACAATTTTAACTACATTTATTAGCCTTGCAAAATACAGTTCTATCTACTTTGCATGTGTGACATTGGCCTTGTAAACACGCTGGTTTGTACAGTTTCAATTGGTAAGTCTCAAACATGTAATGAATGTGGTCTGTGTTTATGCCAATATTCTCTTCTTACTGGTGTTGGATGCTGAATCAAAGCCTCTGCCGCCTTTTTAGTAGAGCGTGACTGTTAACTGCTGACTGTCCAAACCAAGCTGTGACTCTATGTTGGTAGTACAAACCTACAAATCTTTTATTTGTGTTTCTTTTAATCTTTTATTTCTTGCTCCATATCACAATGTCACTTCACAGTCCATTTACAGCTGTCACCTCTTTAATATTACAGTCACATAAAGCAGAGGATAAAGTAACAATCCAAAGTAAAGTCTTGAAGATGTCGCTTCAAAGTGTTTCCCTTTGTTTGAAGCCCTCGAACACCATGACTGTCTCCAAATACTGTTAATACACTTACATAACTACTTATAACATTTCAGTGTAAATTGACATTGCAATGTCAACCACAAAATGTCAGCCACCAGTGGGAGTCCTACTAAATGTCAGACAAACCACATTATAACACAGTAGTTAGAACATATCTCTCCTAAACTGAATCCTTAGTTAAATATAAATATGGCACTAAATCGAAGGAATTCCTTTCTTCCCAAACACAGAACTGAAGAAATATATATGTGTGTGTGTGTGTGTGTGTGTGTGTGTGTAGATCCGTGGATTTCCCACCATCAAGGTTTTCCGCAAAGGTGAAGAGCCTGAAGACTACCAAGGAGGCCGCTCCCGTGGTGACATCATCGAGAGGGCTTTGGAGCTGTTCTCTGACAACGCTCCTCCTCCTGAAATGCTGGAGGTCAGTGCAGTGTTGTGTCTTCTATGTTGGATGCATGAATGAGAGTTTATAATGCTACTGGCGATGATGCTTTTTGTATTCTCAAAGTCATAACACACTGTATTTCCACCTGTTGCTATATTTATATAATTTATATTTACATGGGTGTTAAGCATGAGCAGTGACAGCCACCACGGCTGAGCAGGCAAAAGAAACTGAAACTTGAACACAAAACCCTAAAGACATCACAGACTGAGAAATTGTTCTCTGGCAAGTCCAACAGCAAGGACTATGTGCTACCAAAGATTAGACGAAAAGGTCAAAAACAGTATGTAACTCACTAGCGATGATCTGAATTTCATCTTGACAATTATCTTGAACCATATAAAACGGTATATCTAAGTGTATTGTAAATGTTTATCTCTCAGATCCTCAATGAAGACATCTTGAAGAAGACCTGTGAGGACAGTCAGCTGTGTATAATTGCTGTCCTGCCTCACATCCTGGACACAGGTGAGCCCAGACACACCTCCAACTCTGAACATGTTAAATAGGTCATAAATGTGACCTTAAATCAAACAACAAAACAAACACAAATGTGATGCAAGAACCTTGTAATTCTTGAATCACTCACCATCCACTTTCCTTGTATCTCAACAGGCGCATCAGGTAGAAACGGATATCTGGAGGTGATGATTAAGATGGCTGAGAAGTACAAGAAGAAGATGTGGGGGTAAGGATGAGAGACCGTGGATTATTATTCCAATGACTAATAATGACTCTGATTAATGACCTGCCCTCTCGTTGTCAGATGGCTGTGGACTGAGGCGGGAGCCCAGATGGAGCTGGAGGCCTCTCTGGGTATTGGTGGATTTGGCTACCCTGCCATGGCCGCCATCAACACGCGCAAGATGAAATTTGCCCTGCTGAGGGGCTCCTTCAGTGAGACTGGAATTCACGAGTTCCTCAGGTAGGGGGCGCTGCTGTCTGAGCTTGTTTCACTATTGTAATTCAAAGTAAAACACATTTCAGAGTGGGTCGATTGATGGAGTTTGTTTCATCTTTGTAGGGAGCTTTCTGTGGGCCGTGGCTCTACCGCCACATTGGGAGGTGGGGCCATGCCCAAGATTCACGCTGTTGAAGCCTGGGATGGCAAAGATGGACAGGTGAGTGGGAGAATCACAGGGGCCTCATGGTCAGATTTTCCTACTATATATTTGGGTGATCACAAGTTTGAGGCCTTCAGCTAAATGGCATTCAGATGGACAGTCACTGTACGTTCTTATTTTCATAGGTTATATTAAACTTACGACTAACTCACACTGTATCGATCGGGTCAGGATGTGGGTGCTTACATTGTACAGAAACACAATCCACTAAAGTTTATTCAAACAAGACCTCGTCATCCTCTGAAATGCGGGCCAAAAGAAAAAGGCAGCATTTCTACAATAAGAAGACAAAAAGAAAAAGATACAGATGGCTGGGAAACACAGACAATATAGTCTCTGTTGTGCAGCGAAGTTGAGTTTTTTTTCTCTGTTGCAGCTCAACTTCAGTCAAAACTGAGGCAACTGCTATCTGTAAAATACCTCTCCAATAATATTAAAACTGTCTCACTAGAGTTTATAATGGATCTTTTGACCATAGCCATCTGGGAATTTGGATTTCAGAGCTGCTCAAACTGCAAGACATACTCAACCCATCTGAGAGATTGTTTGTTGATGAGTTAGACAATTAATCTGGCATTTTAACCCACCTGAAACCGAACATTAAATGACGATCAATCTGGCGGTCCATTTCTAAAATTGGTCCAGGGGGACCAGTTCGGTGTCAAAATGCAGCTTAATCCGCATGTTGTCTGCCCAGCTCAGTACAACAAACCTCTACCTATTTGTTGCTGCCTGTGTACTGCAAATACACACTCTGAGGAATATATCAAGACACAGTTATATAATAAGCAGTTGGAGTGCACCCAAAACAAACATAATCATTTCTCACAGTAGTGAGATAGTGAAAGTCAAATCAGAGCCTTAGAGACAAACACTCCACCGCAGAAAGCTCTGATGTATGAATTTGGCATTTTATCGTCTCACTATCTTCATCTTTGCTAACTGTCTTTATTTTACACTCGTCATCTTCAGCTTCCTGTGGAGGAGGACTATGACCTCACTGACGTAGACCTAGATGATGACTTTGACAAGGATGAGTTATGAGCCCAAGAAAGGCGGGATTTTATCCAGACTGGTTTGGTTGGATCTGGTCTGGTCCTGCGTGACACACCTCCCCTCTCCTGTGGACGAACGGGAGGCCCGGTCGCCCAGTTACTGAAATACTCCAGAAAAGACACATGAGAGACACCTGCAGTTTCTCACATCATCTTTGTCAGTCAAGGGGGGGGGTGTGTATGTATGTGTGTGTGTGTGTGTGTGTGAGTCGTGTCCCTGGAATGAACTCTGCCTCACGTACCTGCTGAACAGTAGAAGCTGAATATTTATACGGCCGCTGCAAGCTGTGAAGAGGAGGGAGGAGGTTCTGAATGTGGCATTTCGGTTGTTCGTCTTTTTCAAACATTGTCCCCTCTCCCCTCTTCAGCCATCCTTAACCACCTATTTTAAGATGTGGACTTGTCAGAGTAACACTTCAATGTGCAACCTGGTGTGTCTAAATATATACTTTTTTTCTCTTTTTAAACCAGTGAATGAGAATCTTGGTGGGTTTGCATCAGGACAAGGGGATACTGTGGGACTTCTTGTGTAGATTTTTCTTACACGACTTTATTTCAATTGTGTGAAAACAAAATGACATTTTTGTTACAAAAATAAAAAGGAATAAAAACAATCACGGCCTCCTTATTCACATAAACTGTTACAATATAAGAAAATGCATATCACAGAGCGCATGCAATACCAAAGGCATATAGAGCTTGTTCAGAATAGCAACCTGTTTATCTATGGTTGGTATTCTGAACAACAGTAAGCCACTTTTCAACAGCTACATCCAATCAAATTATACCAAGTGATGTAATTAGTTTCCTCTTAGTGTAACATAATGAGAGAAATAATACTTGCAAACATAATCCAGTCTGTATAAATATGTGATATGGCACCTCACTTATGGAGAACAAGTAAAAACCGGAGAGCTTTGGGGAAAAGCATATACACAGAATAGCTGAAGTGAAAAGCACGTCATAGTCCACAGAGAAGCAGCCACATTGACAAAGACAATTATCCATTAATGTAAACACTAGGCAATGGAGTGTTACTGAAATGAAAGGGTTGTCTGCTGAGGGTGGGTGTGATGATGATCAGGTGAACAGCATGAAGCTGGATGGATGTTGGTGCGTATGTGTTCCAGAGAGAAAGAGAGAGAGAGTGTGTGTGTTATTGTCTCTGTCCTCAGAACTGACGAGAGGCTCCCTGATCCGACTGCAGCAGTCTGACGATGGACGGATCACTCTTGGCACCTTTAATGAACTCCTCCAAAGACAATCTACCTGTGAAGCAGAGACCAAAAAAAGGATCTCAGTCACCAGCAGCTGAACATGTGATGAAGGGTTGAATCATGCAGCATCCACCCACCAAAATCAACAGTGAAGCTTCTGATGTAACTACCAAAAATATAATCACTGCTGCCCTACAACAAATTCACAGAGAAATTACACAACATTTTTTGGATAAATTATAATAAACTTGCATTCATCTTATTATGACAAAATGATTCAATTCAGATTCTTTCATAGCTGTCTAGTCACATCAACCAGCAGGTGATGCTCTTGTGCCATTTCCATGTCATTTAGGAATTCTTTATTGATTAACACTTTCACAAAAATTAGAAATGGGCAGCACAATTTTTAACCAAATGCTAATATGAGTATTTTATTTATTGATAATACTGATACCAACACTGAATATTGTTTATAAAAATATCAAAATCACAGTACTGCCTTTCAAGTCACTAATCCCTCAGTAAAGAAAAAAATTCTGTCATTGTAAATAATTTTTACAGACCAGTTACAATTTTGTAAATATCGTTGAAATTAAAATTTTAATTATATTAAAATAGAAGACATGAATAAAATTATAAAAATCTATATAATATGTTAAAAAAAAAATCGAAATATCCAAATATTAAAATGTAATTATTACTTTTAAATATTTCTATTACATGAAACAGCCCAAACAGGGGACAACTATGTATTCTTTGCAACAATATAATTATATAGAGAGTGCCTCAAAGTGCATTTTACATCTGCAAAAACCTTGCAAAAGTATTTGAAATTATTGCATTGTTTAATTTAAGGTATTAAAATGAAATGAGCAGCACTTGACATCTTGATAACAGAACAGAATGCATCCTTGCACTATTTCAGCATTTAACATTTGGCTTGAGATTGTGTCTCATATTGTAAGTAAAAGCACCACAAACTAAAGCCGACATTAGCAGCAAATATTCCCATGGCTTTAAGTCAGTTTTGACTGATCTACCACAATGATAGAACACAAGAGTAGGCCATAATTTGTTTAGAATAACTGCAGCTTTCTGTCAGCCAGCATCTGTTTCAATTGCATTAGAAAGAGGGGTTAACTGAGTTTTAGTGGATTTACCCTCCGCTGCAGCTGTAGCCGTAGGCCTGGTCTGTGGTACCATGTGATTTCATAAAACTTGAGCCTGAGACACACACTTTGACCTCCAGATGTTCTGAACCTTCTGCTTCAAAACAAACTGATCTGCCCTGCTGCCTCATGCTCAAAACATCGTACTGATATGTGACATGTCAAATACATGGAAGACTTGGGAAATGCTTAAGTACATATCACATGGGTGTAGCATGGATTCTCTCAAAACTATTCTGTGGTGCCTAGTGTATCATGGTAATGACTTAAATTAACCTGTCTATATTTTTTTCTTTCTTGATGTGATAGTTGCCCATCTATAATCGTGTAGCACTTGTCCTAACCAGTTTAACTGAATGACTAAGCCATGTAAGTTTACGTTTGTTTTTCAAAAGGTTTAATTCTGAGTCTTATTGCAGCTTTGCAGTCATTGAGGACCAGCATACTCATCAAGTAAATATTTTTAAAAAACTTCTGGTCTGCAACAAACTCTGCCTACCCTTTTCCTGTCAGAAGACGCAAAGCAAAAGGCAGGTTTCATTTAGAGGTCCCACTTGTTGGTTGTGATATTTTTCCACAAAGCATGCACATAAAAACAAAAGTGAAACACCATTCTTACCATCATTGTCTATGTCCATCTGTCTGAAGATTTTATCTGTCCTTTTCTCTGGTGTTGATTCATCCTCAGGCATCTTCATCACTGACGACACCATCTTGTAAATGGCCTACAAAGGAGGGTAAGAATGATTCATTTTCCTGTTTATCTGTGTGAAGCTTTAAGATGCCAAAGTTGAAGAATAACCCCCCACCCCCGACATATTAGTTACATGTATTGTCTGAATGATGATGGTGCTCTGGCAACTAAAGCTCCTCACTCACTGAGACGCATGGTTATAATGTGTATATTTCAGTCTTTTAAAACATTAAACATTTCAGATCATCTAAAGGTCTTTGATGGCTTTGATGAAAAAAAGATGTTTTGCTGAAAAAAAAAAGCATGCTACAGTAACAAAAGCAGTGGTGCTTAGTGTTTTTTCTCTGGGTTTTTTCACATTCATTTGTATCCACAAACACAACGGACTGAACCAATATTGATATGGAGCCCTGCAGGCTGCCCAGCTCACCATATTGGAAGAGTAAATATAGCCACAGTGATAAGAAAAAACAGAAAGGGCAGCCTGCATCCATGATGTGAGGTGAAAATATCTTATGAATTCAGAACTGCAAATGAATATTAAGCCTAAAATCAGCTATTACACAGTAAACCTAGACGCTAAAATATATTTTGCATATAATTTACACACCAAAAAATCCTCAGCTGCAGCTGCTGAGATGTGAGAATTTGCTGTTTTTCATTTTCTCATGTTATAGAAAACTCAATTTCTTTATGAAAATAATTGTCGCTGCATCCTGACTTGGAAGAGGTACGAGTGTAGAACGAGTAATAGTTTACTTTTAGATTTCAATAAATGATATTTCATATGTTATGTATATAAACTCAGCTTAAAATGTGAGGAATGTGATTAGATATCTTCCTTTTATCCTTCTTTTTGCCTTTCTATTCTGGGTTCAGATTTTTACTCCGTCAGAGGTAAAATTCTTATGGAAAACTAATAAAAATGTTTACATTTGCATCCCTCCCATGTAAATTAGCTTTATCTAATATTAAGGTTTATTTAATAATACATTTAGATTTCAGAGAGGGTGCAGAACGGGCTGATCCTGGCCCAAACTAGAGAAGAGCACATACATCCATGAAGAACAGTTTGTCCACACCTGAACTATCTCCAGCATCTCTGCCCGACTGATGTAGCCGTTCCCGTCCAGGTCGTACATGCTGAAAGCCCAACGCAGCTTCTGCTCGAGCCCGCCACGAGACGTCACACTCAGGGCGATGATGAACTCCCTGAAGTCGATGGTGGCATCGCCATTGGTGTCAAATGTGCGAAAGACGTGCTCTGCAAACTTTGAGGCGTCCCCATAGGGAAAGAAGTTGGCATAGATCTTCTTGAACTCCTCCACGGTCAGGTGTCCGGTGGGACAGTCCTTGAGGAAGCCGCGGTACCACTCCTGCAGCTCGTGGTCAGTGAACTCTGTGTTTTCCCTCAGGTCATTCAGGACCTCAGGCCGTAGCTTGCTGTTCTGTTTCCCCATGACGCAGCACTCTCTCAGGCAGGCAAGTAGCTGGGCTGGTGTCTCTACCTTCTCCTTTCACTTCTCCACTGTCCCTGTGTTTTCACTCTCCACGTCGATGGCTGCTCGGTTTCCTCCTCTCCTGCAGGAGACCAACGAACCTCATTAATATCCTTGTGTGAATATCATAAATGATTCATGGGTTCAATAATTCCTGTGTTTGCAGCAGTGTTTTATCATGAAACATGTGCTGAAGATGCTTCTCAGGCAATGTGCACAATTGAGACAATGTCCATACACAAAAAAAGAAAGAGAGATAAGATCACAACTCACATGTCTATAATATTGTAAGGTTTTGACCTTACCCTGTAAAGTCCTTAGAGATACTGTATGTTATGATTTGGCACGACAAATAACACTGAATTGAATTGAATGAGGGAACCATATGTGTCTATGTATGTGAGTGTGTGTTGGTGGTAGGGTGGGGGCCTGGTCTCCGTGGATACTGTATTAATCCTCTTGTATGGTGATAATTTATCGACCCTACATTGCATGGTGGTGAGACAAGTGTCCTGGGGCATTGTAATTAGCAATAAAGCCACTTTCTAAAAGGTCAGGCTGATACTGACTGTTGTTACTGAGAAGGCCAGATAGTCACCTCGACAATAACGCCCACCTTTATGTGAAAATGAATATTCCAATTGATTTTAAGCAGGTGGAGTTCATGTAATGATTAAAGAGAAACACAAAAGATGGCTCAAAAATACCATCGCAAACAAAGACACTGAAGCATTTGAACCACCTGGGCCTATTCACCTGTGGTTTGTCTAAATTCTGTTTCCATGGTTATATTCTGCAAAATCTGTTTATTCATGTATGCAGGGGTATTCATGACGAGGGATATGAGGATGCATAAACACAACACATCCAGAATACAGCCATAACAGCATAATAACTATTAGACTGGACGCTTCTTGTGCATACGACCCACTGATGAAGCAGAGGCAAATATGTGTGTGCTAGTAAGCAAGAAGGTTATGACACTTGCAGGGAAAATACATGGTGGTGGTGGTGGTGGTGGTGGTGTGTGTG